CCGATAATGCGGTGTCCAATAATGCTTGTGTTCAATAATGCGGTGTCCAATGATTTCGGTGTCCAATCCCAGATAGCACATGGACGTCCACAGGATGTCCGATGGACGGCCGCATCTGGACATTCGGACGTCCAAAGTACGTCCATTTATGGCCCGTAGGATGTCCATTGGACGCCCATGGGATGTCCAAAAGACACTGCTTTAGAGATCCATAGGACGTCCAAAATACATCCAACTTTGGATCTATTTTGGACCTGTTTTGGACCTATAACGGACGTGTTTTTGACAAATGTGTACCTATATTCTGGATAGGATTTTTAATAATTAAATATTAATTAACCTGTGGCGGTTGCAATACGCGATCCGGCACAAAATGGCTATCGGCACTGCGCGACACGCGCGCGGGCGCCAAATTCTAAGTAGTTCGGCCAAAAACTCGGAAGCAAAATCCAGTCTCGTAGGGTATAAAAGGAAGCCCGCGTGGAAGCCAGGGCAAGTATTTCAATGGGTTAAGCGGGCCTCCTTTTATACCCTACGAGACTGGATTTTGCTTCCGAGTTTTTGGCCGCCACCATGCGCGGCCTAGCGGCGGTCGGCGAACTACTCAGAAGCGGCGCTCGCGCGCCCGCGCGCGTGTCGCGCAGTGCCGGATTGCCATAAGATGTCCCGTAAAGGATATCCGTTCAAGGTACGACAACAGACATCAAATGTTAAATGTTAAATGTCCGTTAAATGTCCATTTCACGTCCACGGACGTTCGGACGTAAATTGGACTTAAACTGGACGTCCACAGGACATCCTGTGCTATCTGGGATAATGTGTGTCCAATAGTGCGTGTCCAATCGAGTGGTGTCCAATCGTTACGTGTCCAAACGGGATACGCCCGCAAGCAGATAGGCAACCCAACTTGCTGATGTGTATGTTGCCGAAACACCCTGTACGTTTCTTTGGTCAACGGTAACAATTCCACTCTACCCTCGAAACCGTTGGCGATCTTTTCGATAATGAAATGTGCATCGTAACCCGAGAGATTGTGAAAAAACACCGGAATTACGAAGGAATTGTTGTAGTTATTTATATTGCAACGCGCATGAGCCGGACCCCTGTAACGTCCGGTTATGTGACAGTGATCGCGCACGCGCTGATCCCTCGGCTCAAATGGCTCTCCGCATATGTGGCAACGATTCGCGTTCCAAAAGCTACGCATCTCATTTGACGTGAGCGACGTCATAGTCACGACCGCGCTGAGAGTCTGCTTCGCGCGATGCGCGAGAGCGTTCAATTCCCGCACGAACCACGCAATCCTCACCGCGATACGATTTGTATGTCGTCGCATCCTCGTCTCGCACACATCGCACGTAATAGCCAATGCTGAATGCTGTATGATGTTGATAGGCAACTCTGCTTCGCGATACAAATTCACTCTCCTCTCGCTCCTTCTCTAAGGCGCACTCCAGATCGGCGTATACCACCCAGACAGCCAAGCCTGTAGAGAACAGATTTCAGAAAACTCTGTTTCCAAATTTTGTCGACAGAAAAACTACAAATTTGATACAGGCTCTGATATTTTACATGATGTTGGCAGAACATCAACAGAAATATAACAGACCTTGATAACATGTTAGATAGCAGATTAGCGGCAGAAATCGAGCAGATCCTGATCACGCAACATGGCGACAGATTGCAGCCGAAACCGAGCAGAATCTGCTGACACAATTTGTCGCCAGATTAGTAACAAAACGGAGCAAACTCTATCGTTTAGTAGCGTAACGTTCTCGCTAGATGGACATGCGGTAGAACACTTTCTCGTAAGAAGAAAACCACACGCGGCATTATAAAGTAACTTCCACATGAGATGTCCTGGTCAACTTTTTGAAGTGCTGAAATGAGCTTCCTTGCACTCTTGTCTACGAGTGTGTAGAGATCTTAAAGTACTATTTATTTATTTTTATTTTTGTAATGAAAGGAACAAAAACTATAAAAAATATAAATTAGGGCAATGTTCCATGGAGCAGAATACGCGAAAATGGAATCAGCGGATCGCCAATCACAAGACCGTTTCGAAAAAAATTTTGAAAGGGTTCTATCAGAATGATCTTGTGATTGGCCATCCGCTGATTCCGTTTTCGCATATTCTGCTCATTGTCAGTGGGACGTTGCCCTTATACGGCAGATCCTGCTCAGTTTTTGCCACCACTCTGCCATTAAACTGCCGCGCCGATCCTGCTAGGTTTTTGCCGACAATCTGCTGTCCGAGCTTGTCAGCAAACTCTGGCGGCAGAACACAGGCTGAATGCGGACACAGATGATATCAATCTGCTGAAATGTTCTGATGAAATCTGTTGCCAGTCTGCCTACAATCTGCTATCAGTTTGCTTACGGGGCACATACGGAAGTCTCTCTTTTCGCTCATAGCTA